TGCCTTGATCTTTCTAGTGACCACCAGCCTCTATCTTGAAGCTATCAAGGGGCCCACCAAAAGTCATATCATTAAAACAAAAGACATTTCTCTACTTTAGAAATTCCAAGGGATTTGGCAGCTGTGTGCCAGGAACCTGGGACAAAGATCAAATAGATATTACAAAAAGGCTGTTGTTTTTTTCATTTTATCTTCAGCATCCGTTAGATTGTGTGGGACGTAATAAGTGCATTTAATATTTGTTGAATGAATGAATGTAGCTGGCCTTGATACTTGCTCTCATGAATGTTAAGTGGTATATCTATGGAGATTTGAAGGAAAGGGTTTTGACTCAAGATTTCTGAACCTTTATTAGTTGTCACTAGGGTGACATATTGTTAGGTATGTTTGGGTACAGAAGAATATTATCCAGGTATGCCCTTCCTGAAGTAATTATGTGAAATATTATATGATGATGTCAAGAATGTAGATGTTACCTAAGAGTTTTTTTTATCAACATTATAATCTGTTAACTATGTAATAATAAATAGTCATTATAGTATTATTATTAAACATATCAAGTAATTATTGGTAAAAGGTACATAATACAGTTATTATAAAGAGAATATTTACATAAATAAGCTAAAATTTATATCAATAGATTTCCTAATATTATATTGTTCTTGCATTTCTAAAATGAAAATTATACAAATAGTCCAAATATATATTCTTCAAATGTAAAAGTAACATCTGGAACAGAGATCTTTAAACGGGAGTCCATTGAATCATAGAAATACATGGGCGGCCTTTGGAGACTATGGATACTTTGAAAATTGATGTAAATTTATAGGGATCCATCATACTGTGTAAAAGCGAGGAAATTTCAAAGGTGCATCCTCAGAGCATTACATGCTAAGAAAGGGCAATCAAATCAGTTTCATTAATAAGTCTAAATGGACGAAATACTCCCATTAAAGGAAAGAGACTCCCAGATTGGGTTAAAAGGCTCTTAAGACAGCAGGGCAGAAAGCTTGTAAGTAAACAGATTGGCAAATATGTGTCATTCCCTAGCCCTAAAGAGGTGAGAAGGAAAGTATTACCGTTATATAAAACACAAGTACAGAATAAAAAGTGTTAAAACAAGGCAGTGAAGATTATTTTATGCAAGCTACATGTGCCAAATACTGAAAGTAAATACAGCTATAATCATTTGAATAACAGAGAGACATTGGTAGAAACATTGTTGGTGGTTGATTTTAATATGCCTCTACGTTCTTGGCAAAGTAAATAGAGGTGGTTAAATCAATCTAAATAGCTGTTAAAGGTAACTCCTGCGAATACATTTGAATACACAATTGACCCTAAAACAACTTGGGGATTAGCAGTATTGACTTTGTGCAGTTGAAAATTTGCATAGAACTTTTGACTCCTGCAAAACTTAACTACCTGTTGACTCAAAACCTTACTGATAACATAAACAGTGCATATTTTGTGCGTTATATGTATTATATTCTGTACAACAAAGTAAGCTAGATAAAAGAATATGTTATTTAAAAAGTCATTAGGAAGGAAAAACATATTTACTATGCATTAAGTGAAAGTGGTTTTCATAAAGGTTTACATTCTTGTTGTCTACACATTGACTAGATTGATGAGGATGAGGAAGAGAAGGGGTTGGTTTCGCTATCTGAGGAGTGACAGAAGCAGAAGAAAATCTGTGTATTAATGGACCTGCACAGTTCAGACTTACATTGTTCAAGGGTCACCGTGTGATTGAAATGGACAATATTTTAGAAAAATATGATAAGTAATGATGACTTAAATAGTAAAAACTTAAAATTGAAAAAATCGAGTTTATTTAGTGAAGACACCAAATGCTGATGGCTTCAGAGATTAGTTTTCCCAAACTTTCAAGAAGTTTTCTTACTCTTTATTTTCCAGAGCATAGAAAAAAAATAAAAAAGGAAAGTTTAGAAGCTAGCATGATGCTGAAAACATAACCTGGTAAGATTAATTTGAAAAAACCTACAGATTCCTCTCACTCATGAAAATAAATATAAAAATCCTGAAGTATTAGGAAATTGAGTTGAGCAGTATTGTTTTTGTGTAGGACAACTTGACCAAGTAAAGGTGATTTTTAACAAAGTAAGTTTATTGCCATATTAAGATTTTAATTAGTAAAATGTATTACCAGTAGATGAGAGGAACAAAACCCAATGATTCTCGCAGTTAGTGCCATGAAAAGATTTCATAAAAATCCTATCAGTCTAGAAAAATTTCTTAAGGAAACTAGGAATATTTTCTAAATAAGCTACATATTATCTAACTCAAATCTTAAATAGCAATGATAATAGCAAGCATCATAAATAGTAATGAAATGGTAGAGGATGCCTCTCTCAACCGTTACTATTTACCATAGTTTTGAAAACTCTAGCTAAATCAGTAAGATAGGGAAAAGAAAGGTCTTACCCATTACAAGAGTGAAATAAACTTATCAGTATCTGTGGAGGATATTACTGTCTGTATAGAAAATTCAAGCAAATCAATTGTAAAAAAACATGGCTTACACAAAAGAAAAGTTCAGTAAAGTACTATTTACAAGAAAAATGAATAAAATTAAATAGCCTTCCTCTGTGTGTGTATGTATGTATCAACAAAAATCAGTTCGAAAGCAGATCACGATCACATTTATAGGCACAATAGCAACAACAAAATAAACTTCCCCTAATGTACTTTCCCAATCCTTATAGAATGTACAGACTCATTCCTTCTAATGATTACATCACATATTTGTAGTATAATTTATCTAACTATTTTCCTACTGATAGACATTTGTTTCCTGTATTTCTGTTTTTCCTACTGATAGACATTTAAGTTGTTTCCTGTATTTCTGTTTTTACTATAAATAAGCCAGCCAAGGACATTTTGAAAGTCAGAATTTTGATATATATTCCCTGGTTTTAATTTGATTGGCTATAATAATTAATATTGTTGATTATTGGTACTGGTATAATGAATGGATCTTTGAAATAGCAGAGAAGTTCTCAGACACGCTAAGCTATCTTGCATTTCACATCTGGAGTATAAATCCAAAGGAAAACATCATCTTAAGGAAAATATTTGAAAGGTTTGACTAAAAATTAAAAACATGTTTTCTCTCTGATGCTGAACTGCATTTTCCCCTCTTGCTATCCAAGCAGTCATTTTTCCTGTTTGCAATAGGCTTTTCTTAATTCAATCCCTTTCTTTTTTCCTAGGAGTTATTTTTTTCCTTCTCTTCTTCCAAATGTCAGTTCTTCGCTTGTTTAACCATGACCAACTGCTGTTAAAGCATAAGTATAAATAGGCCCAAATTACCATGTGAAATATGAGTGCTTATTTTTTGCTATCTGTTTCTAAGAATTTGAGGTGATTTGTTTTTAAATTTGTATTTGTTTTAGTTAGGGTTGACTAAGCTGCTGTTACAAAGAGACCCAGTAGCACAGGCCCTCAAGCAACAGCAGTAATAACCATTTGTGTAACGCACGCTCTTTGCCTGATACTTTACTTATATTAACTCCTCTAATTCTCACAAAAACACTGTGAGTAGATATCTCCATTTTATAGACAAAGAAATGAAGATACAAAGAATTTATGTAACTTGCTCAAAGTCAAACAGCTAGTAAGTTAGGGAGCTAGGATTTGAATTCAGGTATTCTGTCTCTAGAACCCTGTGCTATCCTGCTACAAGACAGAATTTTTTCCTCTCACATAGCCATTCAGAAGATAGACAGCTGGTCTTAGGCAGTAGACATTTACTGGCACCATCAAAGGAAATTGGTTGCTTTTATTGTGTTTTTAACCATCTCCTATGGTTTCCTCATGTGGAAGATGAGAATGGAAAAAAATGGAGAGGATAATTTTCTTTTTAAAGAATGTGACCTAGAATTTGTATTCATCACTTTGCCTCATATACCACTGGCCCAAAATTGGTCATATATATGGTTATGACTACTGCAAGGGAGTCTGGAATCTCCATAGCTAAAACTCAGGGTCTCCATTACTAAAAGGAAAGGGAGGAGAACAAATACTAAGGGGGACAGTTACTCGCTGCTATACGTCACATTGGAAATGGAAGTCAAAAAGAGTTTTTTTCTGGAAAAATAGCTTTCAAAAATATTTTCTGCTTTGTTTAAAAGCATTATTTATGTGAAAATTCTCCAAGTACTCTCTGACTCTTGATCCCTTGTCTCTCCTATATCCATGGTCCCATGTCTTTTTACATTCTACTCCCTGAGATACTATTTTTTTCATTCCTATTTCTGCTATAATGGTCTAGACATTGTTGGGTTTTTTTTTTTCTCCTATTGGTTGGTCGCTTTCCATCCAGGTGCTCTCTATCTCACCTCTTAACATTGAATTAGGCCATTCTCTTGAAAATCCTTACTGCTTGTCTTCATGTTGAAAGTCAAAACTACTTGGCCTACTATATTACATGCTTTGTTTTTTAATTCTTTATTTTCCTTTCAGTACTTTTATAAGCATCCTCTTCATCCTAGTCATACTTTTTGTTGTTTTCTAAAGATACCATTTCACTTCCTCATTTTAGTATTATTTCCTCTTCTTAAAAGCCACACCCACCCACCATTACATTCACATAGAAATCTGTTTTACTTTCTACAAGATACTGTTTAAATATCAGAAATATTTAAATAACAGAAATACTGTTCTGTTAAGTGGTCAGCATCAATCCCTTGGCTCCAAGAAGTTTGCAATTAGTTACTGCATTCCTCATTTTCCCATGGCATTTTGGAGTTTATGCCTTCATTAGTGTTTATCTTTGGTATTTTAATTACATATTTACTCCTTTCTGCTCTTAAACCTCATGAGCTACCTGAAGGAAGAGACTATATTCACACCAAGCTTGTCCAACACGCTGCTCATGGGCCACATATGACCCAGGGTGGCTTTGAATGTGGCCCAACACAGATTCATAAACTTTCTAAAACAATATGAGAGTGTGTGTGTGTGTGTGTGTTTGTGTGTGTGTGTGTGTGTGTGTTTAAAGCTCACCAACTATTGTTGGTATTAGTGTATTTTATGTGTGGCCCAAGACAATTCTTTCTCTTCCATTGTGGCCTAGGGAAACCAAAAGATTGACAACCCTGATTTATACGTTTTTTGAAAAAATTCCCAGCACATAGCATAGCATGTGGCACACGACTGTCAATGAAACAAATAGGTATAGGGGGTCAATTATAAAGGGATGAAGTGAGTCATCAAAATTTATAATAACTAGAAAACAGGATGTTTCATTCAGTCTGTCGCAACGTAAGACATTATTAATTTTCAAAAACTGATAACAGTAAAAAAAAATTCATCTTCACAGTGCTTTCCAAATTTTAAAGCACTTTCTCATATTATCTCATGGGTTTGTCAGCAGCTGGGAGAGCCTTAGGGACATTTTAAATAAGAAATCTCATTTACTTTTTCTTTGGTGATTGATATACTTTATGTAAGTCACATTCTACCGTTGGCTATGCATGTTGTAGAATGCTTACCTTTGACCTACTTATAGCACATTTTGTGTCATAGTGGATGACGTAGTAGATGAAAGTGATGACAACGATGATATTGATGTAGAAGCTGAAAATGAAACTGAGAATGAAGATGACCTAGATCAAAATTTTAAGGTTAGTATAAATTTCTGTAATTAGTTAGCTTTATAAATGATATACTACAGTTGTGAAACAAAAATTGGGTAAATAAATATATATGTAATTGTAGCTTTTACTTTGTCCTCGTCTTTTTACCATGGATGACTATGCAATTAAAGGAGTAGGTGATGTTGGTTTAAATCCACTGATCTGAAAAGGACCTTAAGGTAACTTATTTTCACTCTCTCTTACCAGAAAGATTTTATCTAACCTTTCTGACTTAGATTTTGAAATCTACGAAATTGATCTGAAACTCTGTTGTCGCAACTTATTTCGAAATGCATTATTACCCTTTGGCAGCAATCTTCTGGGGATACAGAAATATAATGGATTCGTTTTTGTGAGAATTAGTGCTTGCATAATGATTCTTAGGTTTCAGTTAATTGGACAAGGAAGTGAAAACAGTGTCATTGAGAAAATATGAAATTATTGTCATATTACATATGATGTTAGGTAAAGGAGGCAGGTAAGTTTTCAGAGTTTCATTGTACCTCTGGAAGCCTAGAAAGTCTATATTTTGCTTATTTATTGATAGAGAGGACCACTTTAGCATCTGTAGAAAAATAGTGTCTTTTGTTAGCTGTTTAGCTTATTGCTGGGTTTTTTTGTGGGGAAGGAGAGATTAATTTGACTCTTGCCTGTTTGGACCATTTTTGTCTTGCAAAACTGTATCAAAATTGGGGTACACTGAGTATTTGACTCACTTTGGAGATAGAATTTAAGATATTGTAAGATTTCTGTCTTAATAGATACGGAACCAATTTTATAACCAGCAAACATGATCACCAAAGCTTTGGTGAAACTGTCAAGTTAGCTAATCTGAACTACATATGTGTCCTGGCATCAGGTATTGCACTTAATTATCTCATTTCTTTAGTCTCCATTACAGATTTCTTTGTCTTATAACATTGACATCTTTGGAAAATGTAGTTGTTAGCTTGCATTATTCACTAGGATATCAGTGATTGCTCACATTTTCCCTACTTTATCTTAACACAGCATTTATAGTAATAAGAAAAAAATATGTTATATTATTGAACACATTATTAACTGTGCTAGTCAAAACTCTTTACATGTATGTAGTAACCATTGGATCCTCATAGCAACCCCGTGAGGTTACGTTGTATAAGTACATAGAAAACAGAGGAGGGGAGAGAGTCTCAGTCTAGTTTATAAGAGGTGGAGCCAGGATTCAGAAAGCAGTCTAGTGGAATGTCCACTCTCTTTACTACTATACTGTACTAAAATACATTTTTTTCTTCAAAAGCTATAGAATTGTTGGCTTTTTGAGACTGCTGAGCTTTATTATCTTTTTCTTTCCTACTACTGCCTGCCTCTTACTCTCATTGACTTTACATTTAATGTTACTTAAGTTTTCCTCTTTTTATCTGAATCCTATTTCTTCATCCTTCAGGTGAACTGCTACATTGTAGTGGGGATATTATTTATTTGTGTTCTCTGATGGTTATAACTTTTTTTCCTGTGATCCCATTTTCTTTGCCCCAGATTTTTCAGTTTGGAGCATTTATAGAAACTGGTAGCTTCTAGAAGATGCATCTCCAGATAGCCACAACTTGACCATATTATAAGTTTCAGTGTATTCTTTTTTCTGTCCTAACTTTAGCAGTGCTTTTAAGGAGGGTAGCAGGTTGTTTTGTTTTTTTTTTCAAATGAGTGTGTAAGTAGTTCTTCACTACTGTTTTTTCTCAAACCAAAACACAACATTCTCTACTGTCAAGCTTTCAAAGTATTGTAGTTTTCTTTCCTAATTATGCCTCTTTTACAGCTAAAGTCTTTTTTTCTTTGTTCCAAATAGAGAGCCACTGTGTAAGGCCGTATTTTCACAAAATAATATCAAATATTGAACTAGTATGTTTAGAGAAAATATCTTTGTAAATTATTTTTTATTTTAGAAACATTCTATTAGATGTTAAACAAGAAAGTTACTACATTATTGGTTCATAAATGTATAAAGAGATTAAATTACATATTCATGTAATACAATAATGATACAGTAATTAATATGATAATATTTAAATAAAATCAATCTCTGTTACTCATGGCAATGAGGAAAATCTTTTTCATTGGACATGTAAATAATAGCTACATTCCTGAATATGAAATAATAAGAAATACATAGTATATTTTTCCTTTTAAACTAGTAGTTAATATGTACAGTAAGATACATGTATATAAAGTTTTTTAAGGATGGAAGCATAGTAAAATAAATTTGTAGATTAGGCTGAAAAATAGTGGCTTACTCAAAGTAAATACAAAATTAAAAATGCGTACCAATTGAAAATTAATAAATGGTATTATTATCTCTCTTTGGCCATAAAGAAGGTAATAATGAGTTTGTGTGAAACCAGAGTCATTGAGGTTCCTAGAAAATAGCTTGAATAGTAATAAGCTGACATTTGCCCTCATATCATGGGATTCATTAGCTTTTCTCTAAAGAGCATATAGAACACATTGATCCTGGATGCGTATCTTGTTTCCCTGAGGACATATTTTCCTTTAAATCCACCCTCTTTTTTCCTAGAGAGACATGGAAATCATTTCTGACTCTTGTTCCACTCCTAACCTCCCTCTGCCCCCACTGAAAATAGAGTGAATGGTAACACTGAGTTTTTCTAAAGGAACTTTATTTCCCCTGCACTCTAAGAGTGTTTGATCGTTGTTAATCTGTATTGGGGCAGTACGTACGTCATGCTGGCTAACAGTGTGGTGCTTCAGAATCACTCTTAACTGATTTTTGTCCTGGCTCCTGTCTTTGCAAGATGTGTAATTTTCAGCAAATGATTTAACTTCTCTGTACCTCATTTTCTTTTCCAGTTAAATGGGGGTAATTTCATAGTGTTCTTATGCAGAATAAATTAGATAATGTATGTAAAATGCTTAGCATAGCGCTTCATTTATTTTCAGTGCTTAATAAATGTTAGCTGATTTATTATCACCGTCACATATACGAATGGTTTTCAATTTAGCCTTCTTAAGTTTTACTGCCCTTTAATATGAACAAAATGATGGAAATTAGGGAGAATGAGGAGAACATACTGGAGTCTTGATCTTTACACAAGTTTTTCTGTTTTGAGTAGCCCAGATACTCTGTTATATTAGAGTAACCATGACAAAAACAAAAGTACCCAACAATAATACATCAACCCCCAAACAACAAGCAAATTTGAATATAAGATAAAGTTAATGCAGCATTTATTTAGTAATTATTCTTCAGTTACATTTAATTAATAACTTGGAACATTTTAAATCTAAAATGTATTCTGTATATTTTAAAAGTTTGTTTTAACTGGTAACATGCTCTTTTTATCATTTCAGAATGATGATATTGAAACAGATATTAACAAACTAAAACCCCAGCAAGAACCGGGACGAACAATAGAAGATCTAAAAATGTATGAACACCTTTTCCCTGAGCTTGTTGATGATTTTCAGGTATAAATATAGAAAATTCAGCATCTTAACTGATTTTAATAAAAAGTTATTTTTTCTCCCTTAGGCCAATAATTACTGTTTTTATTCTCTTTCCCTTTCTAAAACGTGAATCTAGCAGTGCTTTTCTGAGTGACACTGAATAATTATGTCAACATCATGAGCTGCAGTTAAGCAATTGTAAAATGAAGGGAGATGGACTAGCTTTTAAATTTTTTGTCCCTTTAGGTTTTTTCCATCACTTTAATGGACATAGTTTTTTATTGAGCCTGGATTACGCAACAAGTCAAGTTGATCAAATTGTTGGCAATTAGCTGGCTTTTGTGATGCTTCCTTGGATAAGTCTGTGAAATTGCTCAGGATCTTAAAGTGCCAAACAAAGAGTTCGAACTAGATAATCTCAAAGATTTGTTTAGCCCTTCCTTTGTTCCCTAAATTTAGTATACTTAATTTCTAGCTGCTTAAAGAAAAATACTTTGTTGTGAGGTTATAGGTGAGACATAAGAAATATTTGTCACCAGGTGCGATGGCTCACGCTTGTAATCCCAGCACTTTGGGAGGCCAAGGTGGGTAGCTTACTTGAGGTCACGAGTTCGAGACCAACCTGACCAACTTGGTGAAACCCTATTTCTACTAAAAATAAGAAAATTAGCTGGGCCTGATGACACATCTGTAGTTACAGTTACTCAGAGGCTGAGGCAGGAGAATTGCTTGAACCTGGGAGCCTGGGTGATAGAGTGAGACTCCATCTAAAAAGAAAAAAAAGAAATGTTTATCACCTAGAGTTTACATTTCATAATTCTAATCATTCATGTTTCAGCTTGGGAACTTAGGAGCCTTAGGTGCTGTAAAGATGCAGCAACCATCCACCTTAAGCAGCCCTCCCCAAGCCCCCCTGCTCTGATGTCTTGGTATTCCCCTTAGATTTGAGGTGCATTGGAAGGTACTTTGAAATCAGGGGTAATGGAAGACAGGAATGAAGGAGAAGGTATTTGTCAAAAGAAAAAAAAAAAGAAGAAGGTGGGAAGAGACATTTGGGAAAGGGTACTGGTTGATAATCTTCCATTCAACTTTTAACAGTTATCCGTGAGCTCTTTTAACACATTTGTGCCTAGCCAAGAACAACTTGAAACTACCAGCAATAACAAATACTGCTAAATCAAGGCAGAAGAATACTGTGGAAGGGGTTTGAGGAGGAAGTCAATTATTGTGTGAAGAAATCACCTATTTCTTCTGTACAATCTACTTTTTATGTATGTATGAGAAATACATACAGTAGTTCCCCCTTATCCATGGGAGATAGGTTCCAAGATCCCCAGTGGATACCTGAAACCAAACCCTTTATATACCATGTTTTTTTGAACTGATAACAGATTGCTGCTGAGTCAATAACAGGTCAGTGGCATAGATAGTATGGATATGTTGGACAAAGGATGATTCATGTCCTAGGTGGGATGCACCATGATGGTATGAAATTATATCATGCTACTCGGAATGGAGTACTCTTTAGAACTTATGAATTGTTTATTTCTGTGCTTTTCCATTTAACACTTCAGACTGTGATTAACCCCTAGTAACTGAAACCATGGAAATCAAAACCTTCGTTAAGGGGGCACTACTGTCATATGATTACAAATTGTAGTTTTGATTTGGGAATAGAAAAAAGTAACCTAATATGCGTGTCAAGTCCAGGACTTTGATTCTCATTCTTTCACAAGTGAGTGTTTTTTCTTTTAGATTGTGATGAGTTGTTTTTGCATCCTATGTTTAGATTTTATGTTTTCTAATCACAGTTCGTCACCCAGAATAGGCTAGCCTTGATGATTTCCTATATGACACTTATGAACAGCTGGCTAACTTGTCCATTAGTTTGGCTGCTCCTAGAGTAGTTTCCTGCTTTTGGTCTGACTAGGTGGGGCCAGGGTCAGATTGTAAAGACAGGTCTGAGTGTAAGCGCTTCTCACTAAGTTACTCCTTTTTATTTTCTTTAAGCGAAAGATGCTACTTCAGATATTTCAAGTAGCACACATTTATTAATGTATTGTCTATTCTGTTGTAAAGCTTTATATAGAATAGCTCTATTTCTATAGCCTATGTAATGGAAATAACATATTGTCTTTTATTTACATAATCAAAAAATTATTTCTCAGGTGGTTGTTTTGCCACTTGATTATCTTTGTCATTTTTAAGTTTCAAAGGAATACATTATTTGATACTTCAGGCTCAGTTTTTTGAAGTGTGTATTTGAATTATAGGCAGCGGTATATAAGTGACATGCTTTCAAGGATTAAGAAGATTGGTTGGTTCCAGATAGGATGTGTTATAAAGAATTTTTTTCAACCCATCTTTGTACCAATTTCTTATAGATCATAGGATAATAAACATAAATGATGTTAATTTCAATTATGACTTTTCCCACTTTCGTTTGTATATTATTTTTGGCATAAACCATTAATGCTTAAGATTAGTTTATGTGTTTGTTTCAATCTTAAACACCACCCACTTTGTTTCCAGATATGTTAAGGCCACTATTCAGTAGCCAGATGGAAGGAAAACGAATGCCTTTCAAAGGCAACTGTGTGGTATTATTAAAGTAATTAAGAACATCCTTTGTGAAGTGACCTTACCATGCTTTTAAAGCTATGTTTATTTATTTGTAGTGACAATTACAGTTTTATTTTCTCTTGTTTCCTGATGGCCGAATATTGGAAGTGTCAAAATTCTGCGTTTTCATAGTTCTTTTATTCATAGGTCTGTGATAGCATGGTGACATTTACCATGTGGACTTTTGTTATATTTTGCTTTTCTTTCTTGTTTCCCTCTTGTTAAACTTGATTTTAAATTTTGGTCCAAGTTATTCATGGAAAAAGTTTAAAGAGTCAAATAGTTTTATAGAGATAGTCCCTTCCCACAAGCTAAATCCTGGAATTACTTTTTATATGTTTTTGAAGTTAATCCTGATATTTCTAAATAATACATTTAAAGTCCTGTGTCTTTATTTTTGCTTCTTTTCTTGTATTTTCTTTTTTTTGCATTGTCATCTTAAGGTAGACATCCAGTAATTTTCAGCCCTTTTCTTTTTGTGCCCGTGTGTGTGTGTGTGTGTGTGTGTGTGTGTGTGTGTGTGTGTATGCAGGCATAGATAGGATATAAATTTCCCTATAATTACTGTTTTTGCTGCATCTTATAAGCAGTAATTTTGATGTTTAATATTTTCATTATCTTTGCTCTTAAACCTATGTTTTTTTCTTTGATTCATTGGTTTTTAAAAAAAGATAATTTTAAAAATTATCTCTTTTTCTTGCCTTCATTTGGATTATCTTTCTCTTATTCCATGTTTTTCATATTACTAGTTTGAAAATTGTATATACAGTCTTTTTATTTTTATCAACTTTTTTGAGGTGTAATTTACATAAACTGTATTCATTTAAAGTATTAGAGTATTGACAAATACACAAAAATTCTAGTGACTCTGGATTTTCTAACATATTTGTCAAAATCTAAAGTAAATCAGGACCTTTCTTTCCTCTTTCCCTCAGTGATAAATGAAAACTTCAAGTACTTTAACTAACTTGTGCTCGGCCTAACAGTGGTTCTTTCCTTATTGGTTGGTAGTATTTTATTGTGTGAATATACCACAGTTTATTTGTGGATGAGTGTTGGAATGTCTGAAGTTTTAGACTTTGCTGGACTTTAATATGAGTAAAGTTAATAACATTTTGTTTACAAAACTTTTTGGGGAAGATGGGTATTGTGGTTCACACCTGTAATCCCAGCACTTTGGGAAGCCGAGGCGGGTAGAACACCTGAGTCAGGAGTTCAAGTCCAGTCTGGACAACATGGTGAAACCCCGTGTCTACTAAAAATACAAAAAATTAGCTGGGCATGGTGGCAAGGACCTGTAATACCAGCTACTCGGGAGGCTGAGGCAGGAGAATCACTTGAATGAGGGAGTTGGAGGTTGCAGTGAGCCAAGATCATGCCACTGCACTCTAGCCTGGTGACAGAGCAAGACCCTGTCTCAAAAAAAAAAAAAAAAAAAAAAAAAGTCTACTGGGTATTTGATTTTGTTTTATTTTGGATTTTTAGAAAGCTTACAAAATGTGTAATCATCAGCCTTTAATTTTTTGTTTTCTATATTTTATTTCTTTGAACATATTAAATATGGCCATTTCTTGGTCTGACACTCTTGTAGGTCTTTTTCAATATCTAGTGTTTCCTTTGGTTCTTTTTCCTTCTACCTTGTTGAATTGTATGTTTAGGTTTCGTTTCTTCTTTATAATTTTGTGTGTGGAAATTGTGTGGAAACTCCAGAAGTTGTTGCCTTTAAGAGTCGCCATTATGGATTGAATTCCTCCTTAAGGGCTTTTGGCCCACCAAGATGATGTGAATTCAGGCTGCAAATCCATGTGATTTGATGGCTGGCTTTTAGTACCAACTTGTGAACAGTGATACTTTTCACCATCTTAGAGCTAAGGTTTAAAGTTTAAGACAGTTGACTTTTCTTTTTATGGTTTTTTTTTTCTTTTGATTTTTGTGGTGGGAGTATTTCTAGGACATATATATTGAAGATGTAGTTCTGGAGTTTCATCTTTTTGAGAGCAAAATCACCTTATGCTAGTTCAGGGTTTTTCTCCTGGCCTTCATAGTCTTTGAGATGGAAAAATCTGTACCCAAGGTCACCTGGTTTAGCAAATGTGTTCAAAGTGAAAGCTAGCGACAGTCTTCAGCTTATCACATAGGGATCCCTTCTTCGTTTGATACTTTGCCTTTATCCTTGCTTTCTTATCCACTTAATGAAATACCTGAAATATTTTAATATATGTAACAATTGTAAATGGTTCTATGGGGTGGATACTTAGCCTACCATGTTTCCTACAAAATGTATTTTTTTTTCTTTAAGACAGAGTCTGGCTCTGTCACCCAGGCTGGAGTGCAGTGGTATGATCTTGGCTCACTGCAACCTCCTCCTCCCAGGTTCAAGCGATTTTTCTGCCTCAGCC